CACATTTTATGGCTGTTTTACAAAGACAGTGCACAGATCAAGGGAATGATATCTGTGTAGAATGGGAAGGGGGGAGTTAATTAATGAATATTTATGGAATTGTGTGAGACGAGCATGATGTGAATGGAAAAGGTTGAAGAATGTGCAGGTTTTAGTGGGAATAGAGTTAATTTTTCTCACAGTAGCTAGTATGAGGCTACGTTTTGGCTGTGCTCAGAAGAGTACTGATAATACTGATGATTTTAGTTGTTGCTAAGGAATGTTTATGTCAACTCAAAGACTTTTTCTGCTTCTGATATTGCCCCTGTGTTCCCAACTTCTCTACAGGAAGCTGGGAGGCAACACAGCCTTGACAACTGACCCAAACTGACCAAAGGGACATTTCATGACATCAAATGTCATGCTTGGAATATGAATTGGGGAACTTGGCCAGGAGGAGAATCACTTCTCAGGGACAGGCTGAGTGTTGGTTGGCTGGTGGTGAGCAGTTGTACAATTTTGTTTTCCTTCCTTTTTTAAAAATTAGTTATTATTATAATCAGTAGTAGTAGCATTTTCATTACATTTTTCTATTATTCCTTTATTATCATTATTTTATTTCATTTGCTTTTAATTATTAAACTGTTCTTATCTCAACCCATTAGTTCTCTTTATCATTTTCCTCCAATTCTCTCCCCATCCCACAGGGGTAGAGGGGAGGTGAGTGAGTGGCTGTGTGGTGCTTGGTTGCTGCTAGGGCTAAACCATGACAAAGGATGACACACAGTCTGTTATAGGTCCTGCCTCATCTCCTTCTTTGCTCACCCAGGGGTGCCGAGGCTCCTTGCGATGGCCTGCTGAGTGGTAGGCATGAGTGCAGAGCTGTCAGTGGCAGTCCAAGGAAAGCTGCCACCTCAGCCCTCCTGGTGTGGGCCAGCCTGCACGGCTGGCACCATGCTGTGGCGAGGGTTAGCATTCTCCAACCCGCAGCCACCATGCCTATCAATCACTCATGGGGTATCCTGCATACACACCCCTGGAGAGAAGCGCACAGCCTCTTTCCCAGCTTCCCTTCTGCTCTTAATGTCCAGGATGTGCCCTCTACTAAGTAGAGCAGTGTTAGTAAACCCCTCCTCATTTCCAGCAAAGCATCTTTCCCCACCACTAATGGATTTCTCCTTTCAACCTTTCCTGTTGTCTCCCAGGGACCAACCCATCTACTCCCACTCCCCTCTGTGATGTGGACAGGGACCAGAGGACTTGGCTGGGGGCTCCAAGTCCCTCCAGACTACCTACATCTTGCTGTGGTTCACACCTGGTAGGAGTCCCCTGCACAGACCCGCCTGCAGCCCTGTCCTGCCTGCTTCCGTGGGGACTGCACAGCGCTGCAGGCATCTCTCTGGCCCCAGGACGGGATCCCTGGTCCCCCTTCCCCACTGCCATGTTCCTGCGCCTTGCCACTTCCTTCTGCATAGCAAAGAACTCCACTGTTATTGGGAGGGTGGACAGCTACTTTTCAAAGTACAGCAGCTAATAGTGACACGCACTGCAGATGAATCATTCTCCAGTTTGGGCTAAATTAGCACTCATTTTCCCTGAATCAATGGTGCTACTCTCAGATATAGCCAGAACAGGCTCTGCTGCAGACAGCAATGATGTCAAGAGAGGCAATTAGCATCCTCATCTCTACTGCAAGTGCGTCCGAATCATGGAAAAGAGCATCACTCCTTGCTTGGTTTGTCGAGCAACCACCTCTGCTTTCTACTTCTCTGCTTGCCTGGACACACAGAAGCAGCTTTGCAACAGCAGGTTTTTTTCCATCCAAAATCCCATGGCATTGTCAGGGTCATCCATGCCTGCTCCCCTCCTCAAACCCCGTATCAACCCTCTGAAACACAGCAGCAATGAGCTAGAATTGGATGAAGAGGATATACTAATTGTGTATCCCAGAACAGTGCTTCATACCACTCAGTCGGAGCTCCTGGTTCTGATACGCAGAAGACCAGATCCTAACAAGTAGTACAAAAACCCACAGAAAGTGGTTACAGACAGATAAGGTCCCTGAGCAAACTCAATCAGTGAAGACTTGAGAACAAGGCCTAGGTAAGTCAGAGGCTTCCAGAGTTCCTCATGGGAAGTGTAGTCTGCTCCCGGGAAAGGGCAGCCCTCCCACTGTGATGTGCTGGGGCTTCCCAGCAGCAGCTTGGCAGAGCAGGACCTGGAGTCCCAGGGGGACATGAGTTAAGATGACCCAGAAAGGCAGTCCCTCAGCAGAGGCCAGCAGTGTCCTTGGTGGCACAAAGAGGACCATCTCCAGCAGGTCCTCTCCTTCTGCTTACCACTGGTAAGGCCACACCTGGGTGCTGTGTCCTGTTCTGGGCTCCCCAGTGCAAGACACATGGGTATATTGGAGAGTCCAGTGAAGGGCAACTAAGATGCTGAGGGGACTGAACATCACTCCTACAAGGAAAAGCTGAGAGACCTGGGACCAATCAACCTGGAGCAGGAGCAGAGCAGCTCAGGAGGACCTCATCCATATCTACAAACACCTGAAGGGAAGGTTTAAAGATGACAGAGCCAGGCTCTTCCCAGTGGTGCCCAGTGACAGGACCAAAGGCCATGGACACACATGGAAACACAGGAGGCTCCAGCTGAACATGTATCGATCTGGATGATGGTAAAGCATTAGGGCTTTTTCTCTTGGAGGTGATCCTCAGCATTTTACAAATCCCAGATTCCTACAACCTTGCTTAGTAACACACCTGCAATGAGGCTTACAGCCCAGGACTAGAGTGAAAACACAGAGAAACAAGCCCAGAAGCGTATCTCTCAAGGACTCACAGCTATGAATTCAAACTAATCACCCTTTCTGAAGATGACACCAGCTCTGAATCAGTAGTTCTCCGTCCTCCAGGCAAGAAGCCAGGATAGGAAAAGCGGCAGAAATGTTTTGTTTGTATTGCATCTTTATGCTCTTTGAACACAGAATTACACTGAAACTGTTTCTCTAAAACAAACATACAGAAAGCCAAAGTTGTGTGTAACAGAGGCTTTGCTTAGTCTCTCTTTCCATGCTTTCTACCTGCATTTGTGGAAAATGTGAAACGGGCCACGAGCTCACAGGTCACTGCCAGAACCAATCAGAGAGGAGTCAGTTTCAAAACGTGCTCTCTTGGTCTGGCACAACCAACATTTCTCCCCTCGTATAGACAGGAAAAAACAAAACAGGATTTATTATAGCATTTTCTACATAAATAGAAAAAAGAAGCAGTTTAATGAGGTGAACATTGGTTCCAACCCAGCCTCAAGACAGGGTTTCAGCAGGGTCCTGTGCTGACGCTGGACAGCCAAATGCTACAGACAAGAACATCCCCATGATGCTCTGTGTGCAGAGCAGCTGCTGAGAAATGAGCTGTTTAACTGTTTTGCCCCTGCTCAGACCTCCCAGACAATTCAGTTAATTTTCTTGCGCTTCCTTTGGCTCCCTGATGTCTTCTGCACAGGCAAGGGGAGAGACAGAGTGCCCAGCTTGTGGTTTTGATCATTCTCAAGTCTCAGCAGTCCCTTTCCTTTGGAGATCTTCAACCTCATGGCCTTTGCGATGTCCATCATCCTGGAAAACACCAAAGAAACTGTGTCAGTGGGGTGCATAAGCCTTCCATACCGTGACACTGCACAGACCAACAGCCTTAGGGGAGAGGCCGCGAGGCACCAGCGAGCAGGATGCATCCTCTGCATCTCAAGGATACCATGGAGACAACAGCTGGAAGTATTCAAAGGTGATGAGGTAGAGCTTCCTGGGGAGGCTAGAATGCTACTGGGCTGTGCACCGCCACCTTGGAGAGCATTATGAACCCATGCTGCCTGCCTCAATGGCCAGCTGACTTGAGAAAAGATAATGCTGCTCCCCACTTCCCTATGAAAAGAACAGGCATTATTTGTGTCCACCTGCTGCTGCCAGCCCATGGTGGCTTCCCAGTGCACTCATCTCCTGTGTGGGGTACGATGAATGGAACCAAACAGAGCAAGAACACCTCAGCCACTAAAATTCAGCATCCTTAGCTCTAAGAAGAGGGGCCTGGCTGAGATGTGTAGTGTGCAGAGCTTGGGCAAGACAGCGCAAGCCAGAACATACCCGGAGGCTGGTCAAACAGAGAACAAAGTCCCTCCAGAGGGAAGCTGGCAGGGAAATAGGTGTCTCAGCCTCAGCTGTGGTCCTAAGGACAGAGTCCCAGAACACTCTCGGCTGACTTTATTATATTTGAAATACAAACAGATTCAGTTGGGAAAGGTTCTTCAGTCAAACCTCCCACGCCAAGCAGGGATCATTCCATCAGGTGGCTCAGGACTACATGTCTCTCCACAATTTTTCCAACAGGTCCCAACCTCCTTCACCCTTTTTTCACCAGCATCCTATGCCCAGTGTTCCCAACTTCATCACAGCAGTTAAGAACAAAACCTGGGCATTAACTGGGAAAATCAACGTGGATTCCTTAAAAAGCTTTGTTCCAAAAAGAAATAAAAAGGATGGAAACCAACAGCAAACACTGCTGTTAAACCCACTACTACCCATCAAAGAATAAAGAGCATAACTGGGGGCAAAAGCAGAAGTAACTGCATCAAGGCTGACTAGGGAGCTTGCAAAACCAAGAGGTGACTAGGGGCTCTGATCACTTCCAGTTATTACTGAATCTTAATGTTACATCCCTTCGCCAGTAATCCTAAGATAGCCCACAACACTCTTCTCAGTTGCAGTGAAGGGTTTATGTCCCTCCACTGCTCCCATACAGCCATACAACCACCCTTTTAAGAAAGACCTCTGTGACTGCATTAGGGTCCTTGGTGTCACCATCACTGACAGAACACAACAGTGTGGGAGAGAGAGTGATAAGCGTAGCTGAACAGTCACTAACAAGGTCTCTTGACTCCTTCCCAGACAGTGTTATGTACTTGCCAGGAGACTTCCCAGTGAGCACAGTGGCTGAGCAATTCTGAGCAGTTCTGATCAATTCCTGATTTATTCAGCGGGGAGGGGGAGGAGGAGCTGGCAGCAGCTCTGGCTGACATCTGCTGGGAAAAAGCAGGTCTTGCAGCTGACAGCAGGTGCATGCAAATTAAAGTCTAGGGAGCAAATGGCCCCAGAAGCTAAGCCTGAAAGGGTTGTTTGCCCCGTTATTCTGCAAACTGTCTTCTACCCATTCACCTCCACTAACACCAGTTTGGAAAAACCTTATTTCAAATGCTGCAGGCAGCAGCTCTGCCTACAACCTCTCCCTGTGATACTTTGCTGAAACTTCCCCACGTTCATTAGTATTTCAGAAACAAAGCCAACCTGCTGGTGCCAAGCCACAAGTGGGTAAACTTCAGGGGAATCCCTCCATGTAAAAAACAACTCCACGCTCACATTGCAACTGTGAGAAAACCCCATTTTTTAGTTTTCCTGTTGCAGTCAGCTTCCAACCTGCACTTAACCCCAGACTGGTACTCAACAGGGACTGGAGCTCTGCGCAAAGTCAGGGCACAAGGGACAGCAAGGTGAAGAGGGATGTGATTTGCCAGGCAAGAAACAGAGCTGGGTGGCACTGGGGAGGTCTGGTCCTGAAACCTGCTTGGCCTGGCCATTTTGGCACTGCCTGACTGCTTTCCTCCATGCAGAATAGCTGAAGAGCCTCTTGATGTACTCAAGGACCTTTTTTGACCTTTCAAAGTTTGAGACATATAACCACCCTCTTTTATGAGCACCAGGGCTTCAAAACAAAGCTTCAACACTGTCCTAAAGGGTTGACAGCCAGCAGGTATTGCTGCACTACCCAGGTGCCAGTGAGGTTCCTGAGCTCCCTCCTCAGGGGCTCTTTGTAGGAAGATCACAGCATACCTCAGCAGGTACAATCAAACACACTGACTCACCTGCTTTCTTGCAGCTTCAGGTCATTCTGCAGGACGGTGAGGTCTGTTTGGAAGTTGTTAACATGCAGAGCCAATGCAATGACATATGCTGCGATTTTAGCCTTCATTGATGCAGAGATTAAATTCTGGACACTGCACAGAAATAGGGAGAATACATGAGATGTGGCATGCTGGTGAACCCAAAATAAAATCCCCACAAGGTGCAGACAGAACTGGAGCCCCAGCTAGGCATGGCTGACTTTTCCTAGACACAAAAGAGCTCAAAGCACCAGAGACCTCTGATCACAGGAGCCTAACAGGCTTCCTCGTCCTCCTGACATGATCCTGTTTCTGTTCAGAAGTGCAGGCCTCTGAGGCTGTTTGTCACTGTGCAGCCTTGACAAAATCACCAAGTGATGATACCTCAGTCCCTTTGCCACGCTGACCCCTTGCAAGAGGAAAGAAAAGGGAAGCTGCTCTGAAGTCACTCAGTGTAGCTAGCAACAGCACCTCAGATACACAACCCACACAAAGCGGATCCCTGGCTGGCAGTCATCTGGGAGCTCTGACTGCTTGTCACTGGTCTGAGCCTTCAGACAATCCTGGCCTGTCTGGACACAGTTCTCCACTCCTGTCAGACAAAGAGCAGCAGTGCAACAGCTGAGTATCGGCATTATGCCCCTTACAGGCAAAGGCCATTGGCTCCCTGTGGTGGGGAAGGCATGCTGGCAAGAGTGGGGCCACTGCACTCTTGCCTAGATTTTGGTGCTTCCACTGAACAGGATTGCTGAAAACATTTATCCAGATTTGTAACTGGTTAGATGCAAGTGGTTTCTGTCTGAACGGTGCAGCCAAGGAGCATCTGGTCACAGGCAACTTCCAACAGCTGCCCAAGGCCCTCTGTGCAGGGAGACACAGCACTCGGGACCACGTAAGTGGCTCTGACACTGCTGGAAAGGAACGTGGCTTCTCCCGGCTGACCTCTGCAGTAGCACCAGACCTTAACTCAGTGTACCAATTGTAGTTGCTGCTGGTAGGGCATTGTCTGGGCAAAGCTCAGGCAGCACACTGCCCTGTACCTGTGTGGGTGCAATGGCATGGGGCTCAGCCCAGGTTGAGTTAGCCAGTGCAAATCCTTACAGTGTTGTCTGTGCAAGTTTCAGTGGAGAATCCAAGTGCCTAGGTTCATGTGGAAGTGGCTGGTATGCTAATTAAACTATGTGAGTGTAAAAAAAGCACCATCATTTAGCCACTGCATTACCTCTGTCCTGACCCACTCTCGGATGGCAGAAGAGCTGACCATCAACCAGCTACCTTGGCTTACTGTGAACGTGTGGACTGTTTGGCTGCAGAGCTGAGTGACCACAAAGCAAGCACCCATTCTGCCACCTGGCATCCAGAAACAGTCAGACAGGTGCCTGGGCACACCATTTGGTCATGCTAGCTAAATCCCCGGGTCCACAAACCCGCTTCTCCCAGTCACATTACAGATGAGCACTGTCTGAAATGGACTATCACCAGCAATGACCAGATGTTCTACAGGGCTGGAGTGTGAAAGAAAAGAAGCTACTGTTATCTTCCACTCAGAGAGGTTTCCTCATAGTGTCCACAGTCCTTCAAGCTGAACTTTGCCGTATCGCTGCATCAAAAACATCAAAACAAACACGGCTCCTTACCTGCCATTGTTGTAGGTCAGTGAAGTGAAATTCTTCATCAGTTTCCTGCTAATAATGTGTGGGCATTCAGGACCCAGTGGATCTAGGACAGAAAGTGGTTTTCAGGGGAATGAGAAACATGCACTCCTTCTTGCTCTGCCCATCTCCAGCCATCGTAATAGCAGATTTATTACCACATTTACTGCCTCTTCCCAGTAACACAGAGAATCCAACAGGAACCT